TCTACTCTTTTATCACATCCCTTCCCTCTCCTTATCATCTCTATCACAATTTGACTAGAGTTACTGGGGCCTGTCAAAGCAAACCCTAAATTATTATTATTATCATTATCATTATCATTATCATTATCATTATTATTATCATTATTATTATCATTATCATTATCATTATCATTATCATTATTATTATCATTATCATTATCATTATTATTATCATTATCATTATTATTATCATAATCATTATCATTATCATTATTATTATCATTATCATTATCATTATCATTATCATTATCATTATCATTATTATCATTATTATTATTATTATTATCATTATCATTATCATTATTATTATCATTATCATTATCATTATTAATTATTATCATTATCATTATCATTATTATTATCATTATCATTATTATTATTATTATTATCATTATCATTATTATTATTATTATCATTATTATTATCATTATCATTATCATTATTACTATTATCATCATTATCATCATTATTATTATCATTATTATTATCATTATCATTATCATTATTATCATTATTATCATTATCATTATCATTATCATTATTATTATCATTATTATTATCATTATCATTATCATTATTATTATTATTATCATCATTATCATTATCATTATCATTATCATTATTATTATCATTATTATCATTATGATAATTATGATAATAGTCATTATTACTATTATAATTATCATATTATTGTTGAAGTTATTATTGGTGTTGCTGTCGTTTTGTTATTATTATTATCATTATTTATTCTGATCATTATTATGTCGATTGTCTTCCCTATTTCCTCATCTCTTCCTGCCAAACTAGGCACGACATTGTCACGTCATCAAACTAGACACGACATTGTCACGTCATCAAACTAGACACGACATTGTCACGTCATCAAACTAGACACAACATTGTCACGTCATCAAACTAGACACGACATTGTCACGTCATCAAACTAGACACGACATTGTCACGTCATCAAACTAGACACGACATTGTCACGTCATCAAACTAGACACGACATTGTCACGTCATCAAACTAGACACGACATTGTCACGTCATCAAACTAGACACGACATTGTCACGTCATCAAACTAGACACGACATTGTCACGTCATCTGCAAAAACTACATAAAGCTCTGACATGTCCTCCTTCGCCAATTGTCCCAGGCTAAGTGCGTGACTTTTGGCCGATCCTTAGGCTACTGTAGATGTTGACAGGCATGCTCCCCCCCCCCCCTCCTCATATGAACTGCTTAGGGGGGAGCAGCCTTACTCCACGGATTCCTGTGTAATCTCTGCGTAATCTTTCCCATAGCATCAGTCATCCTGCGTAAAATCTGCGTAATCTTTCCCACAGCATCAGTCACGCTCAGCTTTTTGCTCTTTAACGCCTCTTTCTACTTCTTTTAATCAATGCCTGTCTCTCTCCCTCTCTCTTTTTCTTTCTCTTTCTCTTTCTCTCTCCTCTCTCCTCTCCCTTCTCTCTCCTCTTTCCTCTTTCCTCCTCTCTCCTCTCTCACCTCTCTCCCCTCTTGAGTACATCCATGCCACGTCGTCTACGAAAATTTAGTTTAACTAACTGTCTTTACTCTCCTCTCTCTCCTCTTTCCTCTCTCTCTCTCTCTTTTTTCTCCACTTTCCTCTCTTCTCTCTCTCTCTCTCTCTCACAAGTACGTCCATGCCATGTCGTCTGCAAATTTACGTGCAGATGGCTCCACAGGCACTTAGCTAGTCCTGGCTATCTCACCCGTTCACCCTTTTCCTAGGTTTTCCAAAAATATTCTCAAGTGCTATTAGTATTGTTAACCCTTTTCCGATGGGCATGGCATGTACGTACATGTCATGCCCACTGTGAGTTTACTTGTTTGATTGTTTTTACTTGTACTAAATTACCAATGAGCCAATTACGAGTACTGCCTGTCTCGCCTGTTCACCCTTTTCTTTAATTTACGAAAATATTTTACATTATCTTATTCTGCTACTACTAATGTTTATAACATTATATTAATTCTAATGTTTGTAATAAAAATAACACAATCGATATTCATAGCACTAGTAAAAAATACATTTTCCCACCAATTCAAGGAAAAGTAAAATCAGGTAAGGCAGAACCATCTATGTGTAGAGACATTTCACAAAAAATATAAAAAATGAACACAGCATTTTCCCCATTTTTTTATTCATTTTCCCGTCGGCAATGGGTTAATAACACAGTAAGGATGATGATATTAATAACACTAACAAAATCAGTAACAGTAACAAAATCTCACCCATTTCTCCTTTTCCACAGTTTCCAAAAAATATCCTCAACTGTTATTATCATTGTTAATAAACCTGTAAGAATTATAATATCAATAACAGTAATAAAATGTCACTCATATACCCTTTTCACAGTTCTCAAAAAAATATTGTCAACTGTTATTAGCATTGTTAATAACACAGTATGGATTATAATATCAATAACAATAACAAAATCAGTAACAAGAATAAAATCTCAGTTTCCCAAAAATATCCTCAACTGTTATTAGTACTGTTAATAAAACTGTAAGAATTATAATATCAATAACAGTAATAAAATCTCACCCGTTTACTCTTTTCCTCCGATTTTCAAAAATATCCTCAATTGCTATTAGTATTATTAATAGCATAGTAAGGATTATAATATTAATAAGAGTAATAAAATTTCACCCGTTTACCCTTTTCCTCAGTTTCCAAAAAAATATCCTCAACTATTATTAGCATTGTTAATAAAACTGTAAGGATTATAATATTAATAACAATAACAAAATCTCACTCATTTACCCTTTTCAAGGTTTTCCATAAAATATCCTCAACTGTTATTAGCATTGTTAATAACACAGTATGGATTATTATATTAATAACAATAACAAAATCAGTAACAAGAATAAAATCTCAGTTTCCCAAAAATATCCTCAACTGTTATTAGTACTGTTAATAAAACTGTAAGAATTATAATATCAATGACAGTAATAAAATCTCACCCGTTCACTCTTTTCCTCCGATTTTCAAAAATATCCTCAATTACTATTACTATTATTAATAACATAATAAGGATTATAATATCAATAACAAAAAACAATATCGGAAACGGTAACAAAATCTCACCCGTTTACCCTTTTCCTTGGATTTTCTAATTGATTAGATTAGTTATTAGCTCTAATCTTCCGGAGATCGACTATAGCTATAACTAATCTATCTATAATACTAAACGAAAAAGAATAATAATAATAAGAAGAAGAAGAACAAGAAGATGAAGAAGAAGAAGAAGAGGGAGGAGGGGGAGGAGGAGGAGGAGGAGGAGGAGGAGGAGGAGGAGGAGGAGGAGGAGGAGGAGGAGGAGGAGGAGAAGAAGAAGAAGGAGGAGAAGAAGGAGGAGGAAGAGGAGGAGGAAGAGGAGGAGGAGGAGGAGGAGGAAGAGGAGGAAGAGGAGGAAGAGGAGGAGGAGGAGAAGGAGGAGAAGGAGAAGAGAAGAGGAGGAGGAGGAGGAGGAGGAGGAGGAGGAGGAGGAGGAAGGAGGAAGAAGAGGAAGAGGAGGAGGAAGAGGAGGAGGAGGAGGAGGAAGAGGAGGAGGAGGAGGAGGAAGAGGAGGAGGAGGAGGAGGAAGAAGAAGAGGAGGAGGAGGAAGAAGAGGAGGAGGAGGAGGAGGAGGAGGAGGAGGAAGAGGAGGAGGAGGCGGAGAAGAAGAAGAAGCAGAAGGTGAAGAAGAAGGAGAAGGAGAAGGAGAAGAAGAAGAAGCAGAAGGTGAAGAAGGAGAAGGAGAAGGAGAAGGAGAAGAAGAAGAAGCAGAAGGTGAAGAAGGAGAAGGAGAAGGAGAAGAAGAAGAATAGGAGAAGGAAGAGGTTTTGCTAGAAGAAAACAAGACCTTTCGCCTGAAATATACATTTTTCCTCATATCTTTGCTCGATGTTTTGCCTCAAACAACATTTTTCCCGCTCGTATCTTTTTCTCTCTTGCTTTATTCCTCGGAGGTTTTATGAACTACGTGATCTTCTCTTTTCTTTTCCTTCTTCCTTTTTTTCTTTATTTCTTTTTCATCTTCCAGCCAAGAGGAAGGGATGCGAGCTGAGGTCAGCAACGACCTGCTGACAAAAGTTGCGGCCAATGCTGTTGGTGATCCCTCTCCCTCTCCCTCTCCCCCTCCTCCTCTCCTCCTCCTCCTCCCTCTCCCCCTTCCTCTCTTTCTCCCTCTCCCCCTTCCTCTCTTTCTCCCCCTCCCTCTCCCTCTCCCCCTCCTCTTCCCCCTCCCTCTCCCCCTCCTCCTCCTCCTCCTCCTCCTCCTCCTCCTCCTCCTCCCTCTCCCCCTTCCTCTCTTTCTCCCTCTCCCCCTTCCTCTCTTTCTCCCCCTCCCTCTCCCTCTCCCCCTCCTCCTCCTCCTCCCTCTCCCCCTCCTCCTCCTCCTCCCTCTCCCCCTCCTCCTCCTCCTCCTCCTCCTCCTCCTCCCTCTCCCCCTCCTCCTCCTCCTCCCTCTCTCCTCCTCCTCCTCCTCCTCCTCCTCCCTCTCCCCCTCCTCCTCCTCCTCCCTCTCCCCCTCCTCCTCCCTCTCCCTCTCCCCCTCCTCCTCCCTCTCCCCCTCCCCCTCCTCCTCCTCCTCCTCCCTCTCCCCCTCCCTCTCCCCCTCCCCCCTCCCCCTCCTCCCTCTCCCCCTCCCCTTCCTCTCTTTCTCCCTCTCCCTCTCCCCCTCCTCCCTCTCCCCCTCCTCCTCCCTCTCCCCCTCCCTCTCCCTCTCCCTCTCCCCCTCCTCCTCCCTCTCCCCCTCCTCCTCCCTCTCCCCCTCCCTCTCCCTCTCTGGATTAATTTGGGTTTATTGCGTTTTTTTTTGGGGGGGAGGGAGGGAGGGAGGGGGGGGGCAATAATGATGATACTGATAACAATAATAAGTAATAAAATAACGATATTGATAATAATGATAATAATATTGTGGCTGGGGAGAGACCTTTGGAGAGGATTGTTATTTGTCTGGTAATAAGTTTGATAACAGTAATAATAATAATGATGACAGGTATTAACCCATTGCCGCCGGGTAAAAATGAACAAAAAATGGGGGAAAATGCTGTGCTCATTTTTTACACTTTTTGTGAAATGTATCTACACTAGATGGCTCTGCTTTCATTTGGCGGGAAAATGTATTTTTACTAGTACAATGAATATCGATGGTTATTTTTATCATAAACATTATAATTACTATAATGTTAGTAACAGCAAAATAAGATAACGTATAATATTTTCATAAATTAAAGAAAAGAGTAAATAGGCGAGACAGGCAGTACAAGTACAAGTGCAGCCATCTATGTGTAAAAACAATTAAACAAATAAACTCACAGTGGGCCCGTCACATATACGTGACACCCGGCGTGAATGGGTTAACAATAATAATAATAATAATAATAATGCTAATAAGTTAAAGAGGGACTTCTACACCATTACATAGAGTAGTAATATATAGAGTTATAATAATAATAATGATACTGTGGCCAGATCGAGACGACAAGAGAAATTGGGACTATTTTTGAGCTTATTATGCTTGTTTGAGGGTTTTTTTTTTTTTTTTTTTGGGGGGGGAGGCAATAATAATGATAAAGATAATGATAATAAGTAATAATTAGGAATAATAATAATAACAAAATAGATGATAATGATAATGGCCAGATTGAGACGACAAGAGAAATTTGATTATTTTTATTATTATCTATTATGTTACCAGTTTTTTTTTTCGTTCTTTCTTTTTTTTAGGGGGGGGGGGGCAATAATAATGATAATGATAATAATAATAAGTAATAATAATAATGATAGAGATTGTTATTTGTCTCCCCGAGCTACGGCTGGAAGAGCAACATTACGAAACATTACGGAAAAAATTTATATAAATGCACAAATAATAAGTTATTATTCATATCATCTCAATTATTTACATTATTTGAATTAAATTAAATAATATTTAAATCAAATTACATAATCAAATCATGTTATATTAAAATTATAACAAAACTACAAAAATGACAATATAGTATTTATTTTCTTTTTTTCTTGCCCTAAAATGAAGAAGAAGAAGAAGAAGAAGAAGAAGAAGAAGATAAAGAAGAAGACAAAGAAGAAGAGGGAGAATAAGAATAAGACAAAAAAAGAAGACTAAGAAGAAGATAAAGAAGACAAAAAAGAAGAAAGCGAAGAAGATAAAGAAGAAGAAAAAGAAAGCAAAGAAGAAAATAAAGAAGATAAGGAAAAAGAAAAAAAAAACACAAACAAAAATACACACACAAAAAAAAATTAAATTAAAACAAATAAAATTAATCAAAAACACATCGATAAAAAATAAATAATAAAGAA